TATATATATAATGTTAGAAAAGTATGTTAGAAAATAGGGGTGACGAGAGTAAACTGAGCTAAAACTAGCTAAAATGTTAATGGTAATGATATATGATCTACCTCCTTTATATACAAGCATTCAAGAATTTTTCCCCCTTTTTGTTCATTTTCAAAATTACAAATGACAAAATAATTAGGTTTAACTTTGAAAAGAAAACAAGTTTTATCTGTCAGTCCTTGAAGCAGTAGTTGTGCCACTGTAGTTCTTGGAGGCTGATTTGGTATGTCACAGTCCATAAATGCCAAGATGTTTTCTGTTCATGTAACCAGAAGAAATGTGGACACTTTATCACAGTCACGGTGACAAGAGGCACTCAAAACTTGGCCAGCACAGCAGGCCACTAGACAAACACTGCATATGCACTGAGGGTTTTTCTCACATCACGGACATCCTGTGATAAAGGAAAGCCTAGAAAATCTTAAGTAAAGCAGAATTTAATAAAAAAAAAACAACAACAACAACAACAAAAAGTCTGGTAATTTCTTCTGCTTGACATATATAATTACATGGTTCCTCATAAAGGCTTCCCAGAATAACTGTTTTGCTGAACTTTGAGGGAATACCTCAAAGGGCTTCTTATGGACTTTCTTCAGCCATGTTTTCTGGAGCTACTAGGATTGAGAGTGCCAACCATATAAGGGAAATCTTCATATGGTCTCGTAACAGAAATTAGTCTATGTTTGATGACAGGCTGTAATTTATTATTGCAAAAACTACACTCACTGCATTTCTGAAATGCCTTTTGACACCACTAAACGGCAAAGCTGGCCTTGTTGCGTCAAGCTAAATCCTAGCACTCCAGTAACTGAATGCTATTTAAGAAATGCAAATGTGAAGCTTTTTAAAAAAAAAAAAAAAAGCTTAGATTTTAGACTCACCATCCGTACAGATGAAGCACTTGCAGAGACACACACACAAGCACAAGAGGAGGACCGCTGCCACACCGCACACAGAGATGAGGATAACCATGGCTGGACCCACTGTGGCACACAAACACACAAGCTCACATTTCCTCCAAAACACAGATGATGTCTAAAAGTAGGATATATATTATGTATGACATCTGGAATAAACATGTTAGGTGATGTGGTAAGACAAGAAAGGTTCTCTGTACTAAAAATAATCCTTCCCGTACTATGTGGCATTACAGGATTCGGGACCCCATCAAAGCAGCCATAATTACCCAGCACTAAAATAGCAGAGAATTCACATTTGTCAACAAAAGCTCCTGTTCCTAGTAAAGGAGCTTTTACACATTATGGCATATTATATTTGCTATAATGTGTGACAGGACAAGACATCATTCAGGAGGTCCTCACTGTTTGTGTTGAGGGACATCAACAGGGGTTTATTCAAACCCGGGTGGTGCACGATGCACTTGATGGACAGGTCGCTGAACAGCCCAGACTGGAAGAGTAGCGTGCTCGTCACTATTGTTGTACCGTCGCCTTGTTCGTAGGCCGACGAAAATGGTGGGCCTAGGGTTCGGTTGTCACTGCCGACGTTCCACATGATCTCCGCTGCAGGCCGGGACTTGGCCGTGCAGTTGGCCTCAGTGATCCCTGAAGGTGAAGTCACCTGGCTCACCTCTGGTTTGGGTAAAACTGTAGAGAGACAGACTGAGTTAATGGCTGCTTGAAGTTTATTTTGCAATTTTTCTTAGGTCATTTTTTCATTCTGTGTTACTCTTTTTTGGTATTCTTTTAGTTACACCACAGAAAACAAAGATTTGCTCATCTGCCTTCCTAATGAAGATGGACAAACAGAGAACATCGCCTGTCAATCTTTCTGCCCCGACGACACAGTGACACAAGTCGTCCTCCGACAGGCCTGAAAACAAAAGCCAGACGGAGAACAGAGCCAAAGCAGCTTTTACTGACTGTGTGTGTGTTTATGTGTGTGTCTGGATCTGGTGTCTGCTTCCAACAGTTCAGACAAAAGCAAAGCCTGTTAGGAAAGCAACATACGCACACACACAAACACACAATAGGCTTTGTGTCTAGGGAAACAGTAAACCACTCATCCCCTGGGCTTGATCCCACATTAATCACCACTTTCCCCTCTGTGACACCCCTCTCTCATTATCACTCCAAAAGCACCCACACACGCACTCACAGAGGAAGATCAGCAACTACTCTCAGTCCTGGAACTTTTGCTCATGATCACTAGAGCTACATTTAGTCTTCTGATGGAAATCTACGTCCCAACTGACGTTTTAACCCAAAACTCATTTTTTTCTCTACACCACAATCTTGCACACCATTCAAGTCAAGTTGTGGTATACACTGATCCAATGCAGTTACACTTCTCAGGAGGCGCAGGCCAGGTTACGTGGAAGCTCACAGCATACAATTAAAATGGGACTCTGGTTCTGGCATAAGTTACTGAGTAGATCTGATGCAGAAGTATAATTCATGTGTAAAAGTGTAATAGTGGTCTAAGCAACTCTCTCTCACTGAGGGGAAAAAGAGATCAGAACAGTAGTTAATGACCCTCTCCAGTACCTCTCACCTTTGAGCTGCCTGTGGTTTGTTTATACACTGCTTTTCCTTTTCCTGAGCTATATACAGGATACACACACACATACACTAGTACACATTTCCTCTCAGCCCTCAGTATATTCTCATTGTGGTACATGTCAAGACCCTTTTCCGAGAGGGTGAAAGATAAGGCAGAGACCATAGAAAGGCGCCAGCACCAGTGTATTTAGCCCGAACTTTACAGCCACACCTTGTTTTTCCTCTTTTGTGTATCATGTTCTGGGTTAAAGTTAGGAGCAGGTTTAGGGAAGAAAACTAGTTTAACTTTCTAGCATGTGACACTAACCCATACTGTATAAATGTTCCTGTAAACAAATACAGGATTGGTAATATTAATAATATGTTTTACTTTCAGAGATCCATGTTCCGCGTGGGAAATTAACAATAGCGCTACTCATTGAACTGGAATGATCAGTTTGGTCAGTTCAAGGTCCCATGCCATTTAAATTTTTTTCCAACATATTATTTTTATTCTAAATGACACTAACAATGGGCACAGATTGATGGAAAGGATGGAAACACTTTTCCATGTCAACACCCAGCGAAATATTTATCTGACATTTCCTGGAAACAGCTCACATTAGTCATTTCCAGATGTCCAGAAATAGTCTTATCATCATCTTCATCTTTATTACCATTATTATTATTATTATTATTATTAAGTGTTCCCATTATAAAATGAAAATTGTAGGTGTGCCTCCTAATACAACTAAAGCTAAAAGAAAATTGTTTTTTTTAATCTGCTCTAGTTTATATTTGCTAGCAAATGCTCATGCTCCAGTATTGTTTGTACCTGTAAGCTGTTCTATGTGTCTAAACACAAAAAAGAAAAAAACCCACATTGCTAGATCTTTCAGGATTTGTGGGTATAATTGATATGTTAGTGCGAAATAGCAAAAAGATAATTTCACAAGGTGCTATAGATGCAACAAGGCAAAAAAAACAAAACAACAAAAACATGCAATTTTAGCTTGTTGCTGGGTAGTTGCACGGCAACATGATTATGCCACAATATATGAGATAGATAAGAACAATCAGGGGTCTCAGATATACCTGTGTGACAAATTTGGTTCCTCAACTCTTAATTCTGAAGGACAAGTTGGTGGTCAAAGAAACTAACAGACAGAGATTTTTGTGTATTTCAATGAGAAGATTGCCGTTGCTCTGTTGTGGGATCTCCCAATCGTTTTATGTGTATATATGGAAAACTGGAGGCTGGGAGAGCAGCAGCAAGGGCCAACACATATAATAGGTACGACACTCACAGCATGAAAGTAGGCTCTGTGGGAGATATGGGTTGCAAAGTGGCTTGCAGGTGGGTAGCAGCTGTTGTCAAGCTAAGGCAACTTAAATTGGGGGCTCTATATGAGATTTACCAATAAGATGTGTAGAAGGGTATCAGCTGACATGGCATGGTAATAAGATAAGCTACCATGACTACTTATCATGGCTACTGCCTGCCTGAAATAGCGCCTGAGCAATCATCCAGTGTATGATCCTTGCTTGTCTCAATTCGAGCGAGGAGGGTTGTAGTTTAACTTTGAAGAGTATATTCAAAGCTGGGGTTGTGGAGATTAGCCATATATAGAGGCGCTGATTAAATATGGCTACTGAGTTGCTAATGACTAAATGTCATGACAACTTTGTCAGCTATATGTAATGACAGACTTTGGATAACATAGAATTCATCACCTAATAGGGAACAATTTCCAAGGACCAAATACAGTAAAAAACAAAACAAAACAACCAAGTAAACAAAAAAATAAGATCTCACCATAAACAGAGAGGCATGTCGTGGCGGCCCGGGTGCCATCTGGGTACGTGTGGAACTCACAGGTGTAGCAGGCCTCGTCCTCCGTTCGGACAGCCTTTATCGTCAGCTCAGTGTGTCCCAGGGTTCGGCTCAGGCTGACCTGACCCTTGAACTGTTCCTCTATTTTGTAATGGTTGCCTTCAGCAACGGAGCCAACAGTGGTGGTGTCACCCTGCTCGGCTGTCTTCCTCCACAAGACCTGTCGGACCCTGCCAGGGAGGCTGTACCAGCATGAAAGGGTGGTCGGCTTTCCACTTATGGCCGTCTTATTGCCATCGAAATGCACTTTTCCTGGTACACAGAAAATTGTAGCCAAATCAAGTCATTTTTATTTATACAGCAGATTTTAAAATAACAGGAGTTGCTCCAAAGTGTTTTATAGTCATCTAGTATGGAAAAGTAGCTGTCTACACTGATATTCATTAACTCCATGCAGCTTTTAGGGTAGAAGAGATGGTCTTTAAATAAGAATAATGTATGAGCACATTTAGCAGTAATAACAGAAAGCACTAAGGTTAGCAGCCTGGGTGGGCTCTCCTGCTCCTGCTGATCTGAGAGTTCAGACTTGAACCTGCTACTTCCGGTTTTACAGGATTTTGCTGCCCTCAGGCAAAACAAAGCTTATACTGTGCAATGTGACTTCCACAAATAAACACAGTTGCAAAAGAGGCTTTGACTTTATCATAAAGGCACAAAAGTTCAAATGTCAGTTGGAGCTGCTACCCTGAAAAATGCAGACCGAAGACTGTTGTTTTTAAGAAAACAGAATCAAGGGGATGTTATGAGAACCACCAGTAAGGATATTATTGCAGAATGGGTCTAAGGAGCTTGGAGGCTAGTGAAGAGGTTTTATCTCTCAATCAAGAAGCTTCTTCAGTTCCAGGAGAACAAGTCCCACTAGGGTTTAAATACCTGAGACTCTCCATCATTTGGTTTTAGAACTGAAGAAGCTTCTCAGATGAGAGCTTAAACACCTACAAGAAACTCAAAGTTCAGTCACTTCCACAGACATGACAGAATGGGAACATTCCTAAAAACGGCTCTGAGGTTAAAGCTCATTTTAGACATATTTGTAAGATTTACTCTCACCGATGATATTGAAGCACGCCAAGCCTTGTTGCGTGCCCTTGGGGTAAACATCAAAGATGCAGTGGTAGCAGCCGCTGTCAGCAGCCTGCACTTTCGTGAAGGTTATGTAGCTAGCGTTGTGATGAGAGACAGTGAGCTGCACATTTTGGTCTTGGTGACTGATGTGGGGCGACGCCCCCTGTTCGTACGCCAGAATGAGCTTGTGGTGCTTGTTGAGCCAGCGCACTTGGTAGACCATATCACCTGGCTCCGTAGTGATGTTGCAGCCGAGCAGTAAGGGACGACCTGCCTCTGCGGTCAGATTAGCGGGAGCTAAAACCTTACCTGACGTAAGGCACAAACACAGAGTCAGCTCCTGTAACTCTAAAGACTTTTTCACTGGTAATTATGTGGGGAAGTAAGAGTAACACTGAATTTAAAAACAAAACCCTATTGCATTACAAAGTTGTGAGGGCTTGAAAAGGGGGCATCTGGACTTGTTTTTTTCTGGAAAAAAAAATTTATGTTTGACTAAAAGTGGTCTGATTGGCCTTTTTAATGCCCAGGTAATGGAGAACCTACAATGAAGTTTACACAAAAATACAAAATTCCATCCATCCATTTTTAGATCACGTGGGGTAATACAGAGGTGTTTCCAGGCTAGCCAAGAGACATAATCTCACCAATGTGTCCTGGGTTTACCCAGGACATACTCATAACACATCACAAGTAGAAGGAGGAGGGGACCTCCAGATCAGATTCCTGAACTCTATGACTAGATGGAATAAAATTAGAATATAATTTAAAATCTTTATTCTGAACCCTAAAAAAAATAGGGTTCCCTAAATTTTCTTTAGGGTTTTTCAAATTTTACTGATATGTCAGTACAGACTTTGTGGTTGGTTTATTGAAGCACGCCAATAAACCAACCAGATCCCTAGTTTCAAGTGTTATTTGACACATTGTGGAACTCATTTATTAAATTCTGGTCCCACTTAGAGTAAGCTAGTAGGGTAGACTATCAATTACTGTCTTCCGTGGTGTGAGGCTACCTCATTGCTATTGTATGACAGTGCATTGTGCTCGGCTTCTAACTTGTCAGATGTGGTTAAAAAAATAAAACAGCAATGGGTAAAAGTCCTAGAATAAAATCCACAACCAACTGGTGATGACACGATGGCTAATTCCATTTTTTATAAACAGCTTTTGATAAACACATTTGCTGCTGTGCAAAAATATTGTGCAATTATGCATCGAACTAATGAGTCTAGTAAGGTATGTAGAAATAATCACATCAGCGACACGAAACAGAAGTCAAACAGGTTGGGCACAACTGCTTCAATCTTAGATAATTGCATTTTTTTTAACTCTTAAAAATAAAAAATAATTACAGCTATGATATAGAGCAAGAGTAATATGAAGACAAACCAGGACATATGCAGTTACTTTCTTGCAGAGGCAATTCCATGCAAAACCAAGCTCACCATTAAACAAAAACGAACTCACTAAAGTTAGAGTTTTCTCTTTCTGACTTTTGCAATCTCATGCCTACGGTTTGTAAGCTAACAGTCTGCTCTGAAAACAGCCTAGGCCATTGTGAAACTTTGGTTATAGCAGCAAGTGTAATCATCATGTAAAAAAGGAGGCTATAATCATTTTGCAAAAACACAGAAAAAAAGAAGAAACTCAAAAATTAAACACGCACACGTATCTGGAATACCTTGCGTCGTAGAGACAGCTGTTCCTACGATCCAGAGCAGCAGACGCAGCGGGATAGAGGACCCACACATCGCACACTGAAGCAGGGTAACCGACTCAAGCGCTGACCCAATCTTACATCCAGACTGCAGCTGCACACACAAACGCAGTCAGGGAGTTTGACCACAACCTTAATCGCAGCGGGGAAACCTCAAGGTTAAGCACTTTTTACAGCTTCTGGCTAAATAAACAGGACAAAGAAAAAAGGAAATAATATTCCTAAAAATCATACCCCTGTCAGCTGTCCAGTGCTCTACTTGTTGAGCCGCTGCTGGTCAGAACTGTAGATCCTGCATGTTCTTGGGAAGCTGTCAGCTGTAATGGAAAAGCCAGAGGAGGACATTAGCAAAGACGTCAGCATCATAAGAAATTAAACTTTTTCTTTAGTATTCTTTTTTCTTTTGGACATCTGTGCATCCCACGGTTAGTTTCCTTTAAAAGTTGCTGCTATGGCGATTTGTAAGCATCAACAACAACAGATGCTGATTCAAGGAACATTACCTGGGGTCTAATAGGGGGTTTTATATCTTAATCAACAGCATGCGCTCACTCCGGTGAGCCCATAATTATCTGGCAACGCAACACAAGCACACCTCTTACATGTCTAGACAACATCAAGCCCTGAGGTTTCGACATCGATACCTGCAACCACAAAGGAATTACAGTGGCCGGATGCTGAAGATGGAGGTTGGAGGGAGTCATTAAGGTGAGCACAGCATGCACAAGGACATGCAAAGCAGAGGGTGTGCAATCACCAGCCGAGCCCAGCAGTGAGTAAGCTGTAAACATCATACTCTGGCATAGCTCTGCTCTCATTGTTTCACAGAGACAATAGAAAGTCACCACTGTGGCTTTACTTGTGAATTGTACTTGGCTTGCATCAGCTCTCCGCATCCTGGAGAAAAAGGCTGGAGGAATTTGGCACAAAGTGACTTTTGATTAAACTTGCTCTGAGTCAGGTGAAGTGGACTTACTGGTAAAGAGAAACCTGCCTAAACCACAAGACAGACCACGTCCAGACCTCACAGCTTTTACGGGCATTATTTTGCACCATTTACACTGTCAGCCATCTGGCTTCAAACAAGCTGCCTGCTCCTGTTGGGCAACAGTTAAATCACTTTTCCACTATAAAGCCATACTGATGTCTCACAGTAGGCTGGGAGACTCAGCCAACAAGGCCAAACAGATGTAGGCTTTTATTGTGAAAGTCCAGCCTAATTTTCTTCACATCCAAGGCAAGTCATCAATGGAAGAGACAGCGAGGGAGCTAGAAGTTGACTGACAACAACATTTCAAGATCAACAAGTGAGAAAGTGAAACCTGGGTGCCAACCAAAATCCAGCCTCAGGAGACAGACTGAACACATCTTGAACAGATTTCTAAAAAAAATAAATAAAACAACAACAACAACAACAACAACAACAACAACAACAACACACACACACAAAGAAAATTTCCCCCACATTTAAAAACAAAGTTATCACATTTTTATTTTTCAAATAACAAAACGAATTCTCTTTTCATGAGAAAATCACTGTACTTAATAATATACTATATAATACTATAGTATAAAATAATAGGGACAGATTAGTGCAATGCATGAAAAATGCACAGTAAATATCAGTAAGCATATCTAAGTAAATATCAATCCTTTAAAATACTTTAGTCACAGGTGCAAAACAGGAAAAGTGTGATAAAGTTTGAGTTTATATTAATCCAAGTCATTTTAAGTCGATCACAGTCATTCGCTATGAAGGTTAAGGTCAAAGTTAGAGATGCTGTGAAGAATTTGACAGCAGGTGGGTTCAATTTAAACGCTCAAAGAAACAAATGCAAAGCATGCAAGCGTTAACCTTTAAAAATATTTCAGTCCTTCCGCACGTGCTTACTTAAAACTGTTCAGAATTTACAAGGAAAAAAATAAAAATAAATAAATACCTGCTGACAGAGTTTAATCCGCAAAGACAAATGGGACCCGGCGTTCGCCCTGTGCGTCAGGTGAGGTGAAACTGGAAAAGTATAATCCACAGCTCGTACATTAAACCAATACTCCAGCGTGTTGTTTCCTTCTGCGTTTTTTCAGCCCATGAACTTTGCAAACGACCCTCTGAGGACGGGAAAGATGAACAAACAGAGACCCCCAGAGGCCGAATGGCGCAACTGCAGTTCAAGAAATCAACTGCACAGGTTCAACCATTCGTTATTAGAGCTAATCTGCCACAAAGAAGCTCAAAAATAACCTTAATTTATTTTATTTAAAGTGTTTATTCAAGTAGACTAAGTCGTCTTTTTTAATAAAGGGAAAATTAAAAATATTTATGAGTTATTATAAACCTTTTTTCTGTTCTTTGTTGAATTTGGATTTTAGATTATTCTGAAAAAGGTCATGACCCCAAACCTGTTTTTTGTTTTTTTAGTGGCCTAAACCTTTGTTACATTATATACATCTTTTAAATGTAACCGAAAGCAGAAGTAAATATGAAGGTGAAAACAATTACATGGACAAAGTGGAAGCAGTTATATAAAATGATTTATTTCATGAACAGAAAACATGAAAATAAAATAAAAATCAATGTGAAAATTGTATTAACAAAAATTACAAAAAATAAACACACAGACAAAAAAATAAAGACACACAGCTACAAACATGCATCCAGACAATTAAATTTAATTACAAACTCTCAAAGCTTCAGAACACATTAAACACAATCAGACCTTCTGATTCAGTTTGATTAAATGCATTTTGTTAAGTACTGTATGTTAAGTATACAATAATCAGCTGTCTGCTAGAAAAATACAGAAGACAGCCAATAGGTTTCAGATATAGTAAAAAAACTTGAGAGCATCAGGGTTTCTAATAACAATATGACAAAGGTATCTTAGCCATATGTGTTTTTGATTGCGGATTGAATCACATCATATATTTTAGAGCAGCTGCAAGACAAAACAAAGGAGTCAAACCAAAGAGTTAGGCTACAGTAGCAAAGGTGTTAGATTAATTCAGATAGCATTTAAAAGACTTACCTTTTTCCTGTTTGTAAGAATAGTGACAACAGCAACAACACAAACGCAGATCACTGCACCCAACACAATGATCCAAGTAAAATCTGGAAGAAAACAAATGGAAATGTGACATAAAACACTTGAAAGAAATCAGGAAATATTAGACTTAATTTAAAATCTAGAATTTTAGACATGAGGATTACAGAGTAGTGACAAACCCTAATATATATAATGACTTTGAAAAAGGTACCTTCCTTTACCATCTTACCATCATCATTATCGTCATTCCCACCATGCACCTGTTGGACCTCAAGAATCATCACCATCGTTTCTCTCTGAGGAGCAGAGAGCACTCGTGCTGCACATTCCACCTGCGTGCTGTTGTTACGTGAACCTGAGAGCACAGCTGTAGTGGTGACAGTGAATGTAGCGTTGGTGTTGGACACACTGACAGTGTTGTACTGTGAGAAGCTGAGATCTTGTTGTGAGACACTGAGTGTTACAGTGGGAGCAGGTCGACCAGTGGCTGAACAGGAAACAACCCACTCTTCAGTAGAGTTTGACTCTCTGACATCAACAACAGGTTCATGCAGCTCTGTGAAGGATCAGGAAATATTATCAACATGCTCTTACAAACACACAAGCTGCCTACACATTTATGTCCTCCTTGAGGCACTTGTTGTTGGTTAAAGAAGGTAAAAGTTCTCACCATAAACTTGGTGGCAGGGTTTACCTGTGAAGGAGCCTTCAGGATAAGTGTTAAACAGGCAGTGATAGAAGGCTTCATCTTCCTATGTCACATTCCTGATGACTACGATGAGTTCTGTAGTCCAATATATTTAAACTTAACTTTATCTGTGAAGCCGTCATTCACTCTCTGACCAAAGTACTTGTTGTAGGTGGCAACATTTGTCTCCACATCATTTGAACTTTTCTGCCATGCAACCTGAAGGATGTCTTTAGTCTCCAAGAGCTGACAGCTCAGTTCAGCATCTTCTCCCACTGCTGCCAGCACAGTCTGCTGTGTTTGTATCACTGCTGTTAGAGCTGCATGGAGGAAATGAACAGTAAGAATTTCATGCAACAAACTTAAACTGAGTGAAAGAAACAGATGCCACCTCCCTCAGCTTTTCTTTTCTTTTCAAAGATTGATAGACAAAAGCAAACACGTTTCACCTGTTGTACCTCTAATGTGAACATCAGTTACTGCTGAACTGGCTTCTTACCTGCTGGAAGGACTCCGTAGACAAAAAGCAGATATACAAGCACATTCTGTCGCATCATTGCTGCAAGTAGCTAAACTGCAGATTCCTGAGTGCGAAAAAAAAAATAAAAATGGAAAAGTTTTATTTTGAGCAAATGTGACCACATTTACTCCCACGCTCAAAGCCAACGCAGAAAAAGCACTTAAAATCACTAAAAGCAACAAAACGTCCTGCTTTTTACTTACTTTTGCAAAGCTAGTTTGGCTTCCTGAGAATAAAATGTAGGGTGTCACACCACAAAAGAAGTGACGAGCAACTTCATGGTATACCTCTGTCTGTTTCACACTGTTTAAAAAAAAAAAACATACTACATACAACAAGCCATACAACAAGCATACAAATTGCCCACTTTTTTTTTAAACAAAATGCATTAAGTTACACCACCTCTAAATATTCATCCCTGAAGATTTAACATCCCAAGCGTACCGAACTATATGAGCTGGCACCAAACGAGACTGTCATGGTCCTGCGACCATGACTCGGTAACTTTGTGTTTGTGTTCTTTATTGTTATTATTCTCTTTATTATTCTTGGGCTGTTTTGGGATGGTTTGTGTTTTGGGATTTTAGATACTGGGTTTTGGGTTTGTGCTCACTCTATTGGTCCCTGGTGTTAGTGTTCCCCTGTCTCGTCAGGTTAATCAGGTCCAGCTGTGTCTCCCACCTGTGTGTGATTTCCCAGTGTCTCTCTGTGTACTTATAGTGTGTGTTTGCCTCTGTTCGTCGTCGCGTCGTCTGTATTCATACCTTGTGAAATCCCCTGCATGCTCTCCCTGCTGTTCTCCCTTCATGTTCAGGGCCCTATTTCAGGAAGCCGGTTT